CATGTCCACTGACCAACATGTCCACTGACCAACATGTCCACTGACCAACATGTCCACTGACCAACATGTCCACTGACCAACCTGTCCACTGACCAACATGTCCACTGACCAACATGTCCACTGACCAACATGTCCACTGACCAACATGTCCACCCACTGACCAACATGTCCACTGACCAACATGTCCACTGACCAACATGTCCACTGACCAACATGTCCACTGACCAACATGTCAACTGACCAACATGTCCACTGACCAACATGTCCACTGACCAACATGTCCACTGACCAACATGTCCACTGACCAACATGTCCACTGACCAACATGTCCACTGACCAACATGTCCACTGACCAACATGTCCACTGACCAACATGTCCACTGACCAACATGTCCACTGACCAACATGTCCACTGACCAACATGTCCACCCACTGACCAACATGTCCACTGACCAACATGTCCACCCACTGACCAACATGTCCACTGACCAACATGTCCACTGACCAACATGTCCACTGACCAACATGTCCACTGACCAACATGTCCACTGACCAACATGTCCACCCACTGACCAACATGTCCACTGACCAACATGTCCACTGACCAACATGTCCACTGACCAACATGTCCACTGACCAACATGTCCACCCACTGACCAACATGTCCACTGACCAACATGTCCACTGACCAACATGTCCACCCACTGACCAACATGTCCACTGACCAACATGTCCACTGACCAACATGTCCACTGACCAACATGTCCACTGACCAACATGTCCACTGACCAACATGTCCACTGACCAACATGTCCACTGACCAACATGTCCACCCACTGACCAACATGTCCACTGACCAACATGTCCACTGACCAACATGTCCACCCACTGACCAACATGTCCACTGACCAACATGTCCACCCACTGACCAACATGTCCACTGACCAACATGTCCACTGACCAACATGTCCACTGACCAACATGTCCACTGACCAACATGTCCACTGACCAACATGTCCACTGACCAACATGTCCACCCACTGACCAACATGTCCACTGACCAACATGTCCACTGACCAACATGTCCACTGACCAACATGTCCACTGACCAACATGTCCACTGACCAACATGTCCACCACTGACCAACATGTCCACTGACCAACATGTCCACTGACCAACATGTCCACCCACTGACCAACATGTCCACTGACCAACATGTCCACCCACTGACCAACATGTCCACCCACTGACCAACATGTCCACTGACCAACATGTCCACTGACCAACATGTCCACCCACTGACCAACATGTCCACTGACCAACATGTCCACTGACCAACATGTCCACCACTGACCAACATGTCCACTGACCAACATGTCCACTGACCAACATGTCCACTGACCAACATGTCCACTGACCAACATGTCCACTGACCAACATGTCCACTGACCAACATGTCCACTGACCAACATGTCCACTGACCAACATGTCCACTGACCTACATGTCCACTGACCAACATGTCCACTGACCAACATGTCCACTGACCAACATGTCCACTGACCAACATGTCCACCCACTGACCAACATGTCAACTGACCAACATGTCCACTGACCAACATGTCCACTGACCAACATGTCCACCCACTGACCAACATGTCAACTGACCAACATGTCCACTGACCAACATGTCCACCCACTGACCAACATGTCCACTGACCAACATGTCCACTGACCAACATGTCCACTGACCAACATGTCCACTGACCAACATGTCCACTGACCAACATGTCCACTGACCAACATGTCCACTGACCAACATGTCCACCCACTGACCAACATGTCCACCCACTGACCAACATGTCCACTGACCAACATGTCCACTGACCAACATGTCCACTGACCAACATGTCCACTGACCAACATGTCCACCCACTGACCAACATGTCAACTGACCAACATGTCCACTGACCAACATGTCCACCCACTGACCAACATGTCCACTGACCAACATGTCCACTGACCAACATGTCCACTGACCAACATGTCCACTGACCAACATGTCCACTGACCAACATGTCCACTGACCAACATGTCCACCCACTGACCAACATGTCCACCCACTGACCAACATGTCAACTGACCAACATGTCCACTGACCAACATGTCCACCCACTGACCAACATGTCCACTGACCAACATGTCCACTGACCAACATGTCCACTGACCAACATGTCCACTGACCAACATGTCCACCCACTGACCAACATGTCCACTGACCAACATGTCCACTGACCAACATGTCCACTGACCAACATGTCCACTGACCAACATGTCCACTGACCAACATGTCCACTGAGCAACATGTCCACCCACTGACCAACATGTCCACTGACCAACATGTCCACTGACCAACATGTCCACTGACCAACATGTCCACTGACCAACATGTCCACTGACCAACATGTCCACTGACCAACATGTCAACTGACCAACATGTCCACCCACTGACCAACATGTCCACTGACCAACATGTCCACTGACCAACATGTCCACCCACTGACCAACATGTCCACTGACCAACATGTCCACTGACCAACATGTCCACTGACCAACATGTCCACTGACCAACATGTCCACCCACTGACCAACATGTCCACTGACCAACATGTCCACTGACCAACATGTCAACTGACCAACATGTCCACCCACTGACCAACATGTCCACTGACCAACATGTCCACTGACCAACATGTCCACTGACCAACATGTCCACTGACCAACATGTCCACTGACCAACATGTCAACTGACCAACATGTCCACCCACTGACCAACATGTCCACTGACCAACATGTCCACTGACCAACATGTCCACCCACTGACCAACATGTCCACTGACCAACATGTCCACCCACTGACCAACATGTCCACTGACCAACATGTCCACCCACTGACCAACATGTCCACTGACCAACATGTCCACTGACCAACATGTCCACTGACCAACATGTCCACCCACTGACCAACATGTCCACTGACCAACATGTCCACTGACCAACATGTCCACTGACCAACATGTCCACTGACCAACATGTCCACTGACCAACATGTCCACTGACCAACATGTCCACTGACCAACATGTCCACTGACCTACATGTCCACTGACCAACATGTCCACTGACCAACATGTCCACTGACCAACATGTCCACCCACTGACCAACATGTCCACCCACTGACCAACATGTCCACTGACCAACATGTCAACTGACCAACATGTCCACTGACCAACATGTCCACCCACTGACCAACATGTCCACTGACCAACATGTCCACTGACCAACATGTCCACTGACCAACATGTCCACTGACCAACATGTCCACTGACCAACATGTCCACTGACCAACATGTCCACCCACTGACCAACATGTCCACCCACTGACCAACATGTCAACTGACCAACATGTCCACTGACCAACATGTCCACCCACTGACCAACATGTCCACTGACCAACATGTCCACTGACCAACATGTCCACTGACCAACATGTCCACTGACCAACATGTCCACCCACTGACCAACATGTCCACTGACCAACATGTCCACTGACCAACATGTCCACTGACCAACATGTCCACTGACCAACATGTCCACTGACCAACATGTCCACCCACTGACCAACATGTCCACTGACCAACATGTCCACTGACCAACATGTCCACTGATCAACATGTCCACCCACTGACCAACATGTCCACTGACCAACATGTCCACTGACCAACATGTCCACTGACCAACATGTCCACTGACCAACATGTCCACTGACCAACATGTCCACTGACCAACATGTCCACTGACCAACATGTCCACTGACCAACATGTCCACTGACCAACATGTCCACCCACTGACCTACATGTCCACTGACCAACCTGTCCACTGACCAACCTGTCCACTGACCAACATGTCCACTGACCAACATGTCCACCCACTGACCAACATGTCCACTGACCAACATGTCCACTGACCAACATGTCCACCCACTGACCAACATGTCCACTGACCAACATGTCCACCCACTGACCAACATGTCAACTGACCAACATGTCCACTGACCAACATGTCCACCCACATACCAACATGTCCACTGACCTACATGTCCACTGACCAACATGTCCACTGACCAACATGTCCACTGACCAACATGTCCACTGACCAACATGTCCACTGACCAACATGTCCACTGACCAACATGTCCACCCACTGACCAACATGTCAACTGACCAACATGTCCACTGACCAACATGTCCACCCACATACCAACATGTCCACTGACCTACATGTCCACTGACCAACATGTCCACTGACCAACATGTCCACTGACCAACATGTCCACTGACCAACATGTCCACTGACCAACATGTCCACTGACCAACATGTCCACCCACTGACCAACATGTCCACCCACTGACCAACATGTCCACTGACCAACATGTCCACCCACTGACCAACATGTCCACCCACTGACCAACATGTCCACTGACCAACATGTCCACTGAGCAACATGTCCACCCACTGACCAACATGTCCACCACTGACCAACATGTCCACTGACCAACATGTCCACCCACTGACCAACATGTCCACTGACCAACATGTCCACTGACCAACATGTCCACTGACCAACATGTCCACCCACTGACCAACATGTCCACTGACCAACATGTCCACTGACCAACATGTCCACTGACCAACATGTCCACTGACCTACATGTCCACTGACCAACATGTCCACTGACCAACATGTCCACTGACCAACATGTCCACTGACCAACATGTCCACTGACCAACATGTCCACTGACCAACCTGTCCACTGACCAACATGTCCACTGACCAACATGTCCACTGACCAACATGTCCACTGACCAACATGTCCACTGACCAACATGTCCACTGACCAACATGTCCACTGACCAACATTACCTGGATTTATTTGACAGCTAACCTGCCAGTCGTATTTTGAGGTCAAAGATACGTTGGGTCACGTGATTGTTGACGAAGACTTCCTCAATTATAGATTAATTATGACGTCATCTAGGGAAGCCATGAGACTAAATGCAGAAATGACCAGGAGAGCAAAATCGTGTGAGAACCTACTTGACCTTAGTTCAGATTGTGATGATGTCAAGGTCACCATTACTCACACAGGTTAGTCCGAGTCTTGACTACAGACACATGGACAACAGACACATGGACTACAGACAAAATGGACTACAGACACATGGACTACAGACAAAATGGACTACAGACACATGGACTAGAGACACATGGACTACAGTCATATGGACTACAGACAAAATGGACTACAGACACATGGACTACAGACACATGGACTACAGACAAAATGGACTACAGACAAAATGGACTACAGAAATATGGACTACAGACACATGGACTACAGACACATGGACTACAGACACATGGACTTCAGACACATGGACTACAGACAAAATGGACTACAGACAAAATGGACTACAGACACATGGACTACAGACACATGGACTACAGACACATGGACTACAGACACATGGACTACAGACACATGGACTACAGACACATGGACTACAGACAAAATGGACTACAGACAAAATGGACTACAGACACATGGACTACAGACAAAATGGACTACAGACAAAATGGACTACAGACACATGGACTACAGACACATGGACTACAGACACATGGACTACAGACACATGGACTACAGACACATGGACTACAGACACATGGACTACAGACACATGGACTACAGACACATGGACTACAGACAAAATGGACAACAGACAAAATGGACTACAGACACATGGACTACAGACACATGGACTACAGACACATGGACTACAGACACATGGACTACAGACACATGGACTACAGACACATGGACTACAGACACATGGACTACAGACACATGGACTACAGACACATGGACTACAGACACATGGACTACAGACAAAATGGACTACAGACAAAATGGACTACAGACACATGGACTACAGACAAAATGGACTACAGACAAAATGGACTACAGACAAAATGGACTACAGACACATGGACTACAGACACATGGACTACAGACACATGGACTACAGACACATGGACTACAGACACATGGACTACAGACAAAATGGACTACAGACAAAATGGACTACAGACACATGGACTACAGACAAAATGGACTACAGACAAAATGGACTACAGACACATGGACTAAAGACACATGGACTACAGACAAAATGGACTACAGACACATGGACTACAGACACATGGACTACAGACACGTGGACTACAGACAAAATGGACTACAGACACATGGACTACAGACACATGGACAACAGACACATGGACAACAGACACATGGACTACAGACAAAATGGACTACAGACGAAATGGACTACAGACACATGGACTACAGACAAAATGGACTACAGACACATGGACTACAGACAAAATGGTCTACAGACAAAATGGACTACAGTCAAAATGGACTACAGACACATGGACTACAGACACATATACTACAGACAAAATGGACTACAGACACATGGACTACAGACACATGGACTACAGACACATGGACTACAGACAAAATGGACTACAGACAAAATGGACTACAGACACATGGACTACAGACAAAATGGACTACAGACACATGGACTACAGACAAAATGGACTACAGACACATGGACTACAGACACATGGACTACAGACACATGGACTACAGACAAAATGGACTACAGACAAAATGGACTACAGACACATGGACTACAGACACATGGACTACAGACAAAATGGACTACAGACACATGGACTACAGACACATGGACTACAGACACATGGACTACAGACAAAATGGACTACAGACACATGGACTACAGACAAAATGGACTACAGACACATGGACTACAGACAAAATGGACTACAGACACATGGACTACAGACAAAATGGACTACAGTCAAAATGGACTACAGACACATGGACTACAGACAAAATGGACTACAGACACATGGACTACAGACAAAATGGACTACAGACAAAATGGACTACAGACACATGGACTACAGACAAAATGGACTACAGACACATGGACTACAGACAAAATGGACTACAGACACATGGACTACAGACAAAATGGACTACAGACACATGGTCTACAGACAAAATGGACTACAGTAAAAATGGACTACAGACAAAATGGACTACAGACACATGGACTACAGACACATGGACTACAGACACATGGACTACAGACACATGGACTACAGACACATGGACTACAGACACATGGACTACAGACACTTGGACTACATGCACATGGACTATAGATACATGGACTACAGACAAAATGGACTACAGACACATGGACTACAGACACATGGACTACAGACACATGGACTACAGACAAAATGGACTACAGACACATGGACTACAGACAAAATGGACTACAGACACATGGACTACAGACAAAATGGACTACAGACACATGGACTACAGACACATGGACTACAGACAAAATGGACTACAGACAAAATGGACTACAGACACATGGACTACAGACACATGGACTACAGACACATGGACTACAGACACATGGACTACAGACAAAATGGACTACAGACACATGGACTACAGACACATGGACTACAGACAAAATGGACTACAGACAAAATGGACTACAGACACATGGACTAAAGACACATGGACTACAGACACATGGACTACAGACACATGGACTACAGACACATGGACTACAGACACATGGACTACAGACAAAATGGACTACAGACAAAATGGACTACAGACACATGGACTACAGACACATGGACTACAGACAAAATGGACTACAGACAAAATGGACTACAGACAAAATGGACTACAGACACATGGACTACAGACACATGGACTACAGACACATGGACTACAGACACATGGACTACAGACACATGGACTACAGACACATGGACTACAGACAAAATGGACTACAGACAAAATGGACTACAGACACATGGACAACAGACACATGGACTACAGACAAAATGGACTTCAGACAAAATGGACTACAGACAAAATGGACTACAGACACATGGACTACAGACAAAATGGTCTACAGATAAAATGGACTACAGTCAAAATGGACTACAGACACATGGACTACAGACACATATACTACAGACAAAATGGACTACAGACACATGGACTACAGACACATGGACTACAGACACATGGACTACAGACAAAATGGACTACAGACAAAATGGACTACAGACACATGGACTACAGACACATGGACTACAGACAAAATGGACTACAGACACATGGACTACAGACAAAATGGACTACAGTCAAAATGGACTACAGACACATGGACTACAGACACATGGACTACAGACAAAATGGACTACAGACAAAATGGACTACAGACACATGGACTACAGACAAAATGGACTACAGACACATGGACTACAGACAAAATGGACTACAGACACATGGACTACAGACAAAATGGACTACAGACACATGGTCTACAGACAAAATGGACTACAGTCAAAATGGACTACAGACAAAATGGACTACAGACACATGGACTACAGACACATGGACTACAGACACATGGACTACAGACACATGGACTACAGACACATGGACTACAGACACATGGACTACAGACACTTGGACTACATGCACATGGACTATAGATACATGGACTACAGACAAAATGGACTACAGACACATGGACTACAGACACATGGACTACAGACACATGGACTACAGACACATGGACTACAGACAAAATGGACTACAGACACATGGACTACAGACAAAATGGACTACAGACACATGGACTACAGACAAAATGGACTACAGACACATGGACTACAGACACATGGACTACAGACAAAATGGACTACAGACAAAATGGACTACAGACACATGGACTACAGACACATGGACTACAGACACATGGACTACAGACACATGGACTACAGACAAAATGGACTACAGACACATGGACTACAGACACATGGACTACAGACAAAATGGACTACAGACAAAATGGACTACAGACACATGGACTAAAGACACATGGACTACAGACACATGGACTACAGACACATGGACTACAGACACATGGACTACAGACAAAATGGACTACAGACACATGGACTACAGACACTTGGACTACATGCACATGGACTACAGACACATGGACTACAGACAAAATGGACTACAGACACATGGACTACAGACAAAATGGACTACAGACACATGGACCACAGACACATAAAGACTACATATAAAAAGAACCCCAGACATAAAGACTACATATAAAAGGGAACCCAAATACTTTCCCAACCGTTTTATCAGACGAGAGGCAATCAACCTTACAGACTTTGGTCAGGGACGAGTCAATTTACTACAACAATCTCAAGGTCATGGTCATACAAGTGGTGGAGCCCATAAGGTAAGCTTTAACTACATGGGTCACCATTCATCACGGTATGTTGTAGCTACCTGGGTCACCATTCATCACGGTATGTTGTAGCTACCTGGGTCACCATTCATCACGGTATGTTGTAGCTACCTGGGTCACCATTCATCACGGTATGTTGTAGCTACCTGGGTCACCATTCATCACGGTATGTTGTAGCTACCTGGGTCACCATTTATCACGGTATGTTGTAGCTACCTGGGTCACCATTCATCACGGTATGTTGTAGCTACCTGGGTCACCATTCATCACGGTATGTTGTAGCTACCTGGGTCACCATTCATCACGGTATGTTGTAGCTACCTGGGTCACCATTCATCACGGTATGTTGTAGCTACCTGGGTCACCATTCATCACGGTATGTTGTAGCTACCTGGGTCACCATTCATCACGGTATACTGTAGCTACCTGGGTCACCATTCATCACGGTATGTTGTAGCTACCTGGGTCACCATTCATCACGGTATGTTGTAGCTACCTGGGTCACCATTCATCACGGTATGTTGTAGCTACCTGGGTCACCATTCATCACGGTATGTTGTAGCTACCTGGGTCACCATTCATCACGGTATGTTGTAGCTACCTGGGTCACCATTCATCACGGTATGTTGTAGCTACCTGGGTCACCATTCATCACGGTATGTTGTAGCTACCTGGGTCACCATTCATCACGGTATGTTGTAGCTACCTGGGTCACCATTCATCACGGTATGTTGTAGCTACCTGGGTCACCATTCATCACGGTATGTTGTAGCTACCTGGGTCACCATTCATCACGGTATGTTGTAGCTACCTGGGTCACCATTCATCACGGTATGTTGTAGCTACCTGGGTCACCATTCATCACGGTATGTTGTAGCTACCTGGGTCACCATTCATCACGGTATGTTGTAGCTACCTGGGTCACCATTCATCACGGTATGTTGTAGCTACCTGGGTCACCATTCATCACGGTATGTTGTAGCTACCTGGGTCACCATTCATCACGGTATGTTGTAGCTACCTGGGTCACCATTCATCACGGTATGTTGTAGCTACCTGGGTCACCATTCATCACGGTATGTTGTAGCTACCTTGGGATCCCTACAGTGGGTCATCAACTTCCAAACGTGGGGGGGGGGGGGGGTTGATTTCTTGCCTGAGAAGGGGCTGAGAGGCTGAGGGGCTGAGAGGCTGAGGGGCTGAGAGGTTGAAGGGCTGAGAGGCTGAGGGGCTGAGAATTTGAAAGTTGAGATGACAGGGAGCAAGTGCTACGTGAATACAAAAATAACATTTCGAATTTTTGAAAGAAAATGATCAACTGAAAGATTTTTTTAGTAAAAACATTGGCCGCCCCTAAAATTCTGAAATGTTTTGACTTTAGAAAGCCTACCAATGTTTTGACTGTATTTCTGAGTGCATTGAACAGCTGATTCTACATGGTTTAAACAATATTTTTTTTGTACGGACATTCCTACCTCCTCCCCGCCTCCTCCCAACAGAAAATCAGGCCGCTTACAGTCAGGTGAAGTAGAGTTGATCGAGGTGTTTGACAAGCTGAGTTTGTTGAGTGCATCCCTACTGCAGAGGGTGAGAAGAAAATGTTTGACTCACGTGACCTAATTTATTGACCTAATTTATTGACCTAATTTATTGACCTAATCTATTGACCTAATCTATTGACCTAATCTATTGACCTGATCTATTGATCTAATCTATTGACCTAATCTATTGACCTGATCTATTGATCTAATCTATTGATCTAATCTATTGACCTAATCTATTGACCTTATCTATTGATCTGATCTATTGACCTAATCTATTGACCTGATCTGTTGATCTCATCTATTAATCTAATCTATTGACCTAATCTATTGACCTAATCTATTGACCTAATCTATTGACCTAATCTATTGACCTAATCTATTGTCCTGATCTATTAATATAATCTATTGATCTAATCTATTGATCTAATCTATTGACCTAATCTATTGACCTGATCTATTGACCTAATATTGTTTAATATTGTCCCTGTATTTTGACCTAATATTGTCCCTGTATTTAGTCATAATATTGATCCTGTATTTTGACCTAATATTGTCCCTGTATTTTGTTCTAATATTGTCCCTGTATTTTGTCACAATATTGATCCTGTATTTTGACCTAATATTGTCCCTGTATTTTGTCCTAATATTGTCCCTGTATTTTGTCCTAATATTGTCCCTGTATTTTGTCCTGATATTGTCCCTGTATTTTGTCCTAATATTGTCCCTGTATTTTGTCCTAATATTGTCCCTGTATTTTGTCCTAATATTGTCCCTGTATTTTGTCCTGATATTGTCCCTGTATTTCGTCCTGATAGTGTCCCTGTATTTTGTCCTAATATTGTCCCTGTATTTTGTCCTAATATTGTCCCTGTATTTTGTCCTAATATTGTCCCTGTATTTTGTCCTAATATTGTCCCTGTATTTTGTCCTGATATTGTCCCTGTATTTTGTCCTAATATTGTCCCTGTATTTTGTCCTAATATTGTCCCTGTATTTTGTCCTAATATTGTCCCTGTATTTTGTCCTGATATTGTCCCTGTATTTCGTCCTGATAGTGTCCCTGTATTTTGTCCTAATATTGTCCCTGTATTTTGTCCTAATATTGTCCCTGTATTTTGTCCTAATATTGTCCCTGTATTTTGTCCTAATATTGTCCCTGTATTTTGTCCTAATATTGTCCCTGTATTTTGTCCTAATATTGTCCCTGTATTTTGTCCTAATATTGTCCCTGTATTTTGTCCTAATATTGTCCCTGTATTTTGTCCTAATATTGTCCCTGTATTTTGTCCTAATATTGTCCCTGTATTTCGTCCTGATAGTGTCCCTGTATTTTGTCCTAATATTGTCCCTGTATTTTGTCCAAATATTGTCCTTGTATTTTGTCCAAATATTGTCCTTGTATTTTGTCCTAATATTGTCCCTGTATTTTGTCCTAATATTGTCCCTGTATTTTGTCCTAATATTGTCCCTGTATTTTGTCCTGATATTGTCCCTGTATTTCGTCCTGATAGTGTCCCTGTATTTTGTCCTAATATTGTCCCTGTATTTTGTCCTAATATTGTCCCTGTATTTTGTCCTAATATTGTCCCTGTATTTTGTCCTAATATTGTCCCTGTATTTTGTCCTGATATTGTCCCTGTATTTTGTCCTAATATTGTCCCTGTATTTTGTCCTAATATTGTCCCTGTATTTTGTCCTAATATTGTCCCTGTATTTTGTCCTGATATTGTCCCTGTATTTCGTCCTGATAGTGTCCCTGTATTTTGTCCTAATATTGTCCCTGTATTTTGTCCTAATATTGTCCCTGTATTTTGTCCTAATATTGTCCCTGTATTTTGTCCTAATATTGTCCCTGTATTTTGTCCTAATATTGTCCCTGTATTTTGTCCTAATATTGTCCCTGTATTTTGTCCTAATATTGTCCCTGTATTTTGTCCTAATATTGTCCCTGTATTTTGTCCTAATATTGTCCCTGTATTTTGTCCTAATATTGTCCCTGTATTTCGTCCTGATAGTGTCCCTGTATTTTGTCCTAATATTGTCCCTGTATTTTGTCCAAATATTGTCCTTGTATTTTGTCCAAATATTGTCCTTGTATTTTGTCCTAATATTGTCCCTGTATTTTGTCCTAATATTGTCCCTGTATTTTGTCCTAATATTGTCCCTGTATTTCGTCCTGATAGTGTCCCTGTATTTTGTCCTAATATTGTCCCTGTATTTTGTCCAAATATTGTCCTTGTATTTTGTCCTAATATTGTCCCTGTATTTTGTCCTAATATTGGCCCTGTATTTTGTCCTAATATTGTCCTTGTATTTTGTCCAAATATTGTCCTTGTATTTTGTCCAAATATTGTCCTTGTATTTTGTCCTAATATTGTCCCTGTATTTTATCCTAATATTGTCCCTGTATTTTGTCCTAATATTGTCCCTGTATTTTATCCTGATATTGTCCCTGTATTTTGTCCTAATATTGTCCCTGTATTTTATCCTAATATTGTCCCTGTATTTTGTCCTAATATTGTCCCTGTATTTTATCCTAATATTGTCCCTGTATTTTGTCCTAATATTGTCCCTGTATTTTATCCTGATATTGTCCCTGTATTTTGTTCTAATATTGTCCCTGTATTTTGTCCTAATATTGGCCCTGTATTTTGTCCTAATATTGTCCCTGTATTTTGTCCTAATATTGTCCCTGTATTTTGTCCTAATATTGTCCCTGTATTTTGTCCTAATATTGTCCCTGTATTTTGTAGATGGAACTTTTGTTGGAGACGTGGAATAGCCAGCAGTCAACTATTGGTCAGTTAATTTTGTAGAGTCGATATAAACGTGTGTGGCAGCATATAAAACTTGTGTGGCAGCATATAAAACTTGTGTGGCAGCATATAAAACTTGTGTGGCAGCATATAAAACTTGTGTGGCAGCATATAAAACTTGTGTGGCAGCATATAAAACTTGTGTGGCAGCATATAAAACTTGTGTGGCAGCATATAAATGTGTGTGGTAGCATATAAATGTGTGTGGTAGCATATAAATGTGTGTGGCAGCATATAAAACTTGTGTGGCAGCATATAAAACTTGTGTGGCAGCATATAAAACTTGTGTGGCAGCATATAAAACTTGTGTGGCAGCATATAAAACTTGTGTGGCAGCATATAAATGTGTGTGGTAGCATATAAATGTGTGTGGTAGCATATAAATGTGTGTGGTAGCATATAAATGTGTGTGGTAGCATATAAATGTGTGTGGTAGCATATAAACGTGTGTGGCAGCATATAAAACTTGTGTGGCAGCATATAAAACTTGTGTGGCAGCATATAAAACTTGTGTGGCAGCATATAAAACTTGTGTGGCAGCATATAAATGTGTGTGGTAGCATATAAATGTGTGTGGTAGCATATAAATGTGTGTGGTAGCATATAAATGTGTGTGGTAGCATATAAATGTGTGTGGTAGCATATAAATGTGTGTGGTAGCATATAAAACTTGTGTGGCAGCATATAAATGTGTGTGGTAGCATATAAACGTGTGTGGTAGCATATAAATGTGTGTGGTAGCATATAAATGTGTGTGGTAGCATATAAATGTGTGTGGTAGCATATAAATGTGTGTGGTAGCATATAAATGTGTGTGGTAGCATATAAATGTGTGTGGTAGCATATAAATGTGTGTGGCAGCATATAAATGTGTGTGGCAGCATATAAATGTGTGTGGCAGCATTTGACTGTGTAGATGAATGTGGGTGTAATATTGCCGATGTTTGACCTTCAACCTTCTCTACAGGTCAAGTTTTTCACAAAGATTTTTGGAACTGTTACAAAATTTACATGAGCAAAATTCCTGATATTACAAGGTAGAAGATAAAAACCTAAACCCTAACCCTAACCCAAGGTAAAAGATATACCATAAAAACCTAAACCCTAACCATAACAAAAGATCCAAACCCTAATCCAAACCATAATCCAAACCTTACCCTAACAAAAAACCCTAATCCAAATCCTAGCCCTTACCATAACAAAAAAAACCCTAATCCAAACCCTAGCCCTAACCCTAATCTAAACCCTAATCCAAACCTAACCCTAACAAAAAACCCTTATCCTAACCCTAACTCTAATCTAAACCCTAATCCAAATCTAACCCTAACAAAAAAAAACCTAATCCAAACCCTAACCCTAATCTAAACCCTAATCCAAACCTAACCCTAACAAAAAAACCTAATCCAAACCCTAACCCTAATCTAAACCCTAATCCAAACCTAACCCTAACAAAAAACCCTAATCCTAACCCTAGCCCTAATCCTAATCTAAACCCTAATCCAAACCTAACTCTAACCAAAAAACCCATAATCCAAACCCTAACCCTAACCCTAATCTAAACCCTAATCCAAACCTAACCCTAACAAAAAAACCTAATCCAAACCCTAACCCTAATCTAAACCCTAATCCAAACCTAACCCTAACAAAAAACCCTAATCCAAACCCTAACCCTAATCTAAACCCTAATCCAAACCTAACCCTAACAAAAAACCCTAATCCAAACCCTAACCCTAATCTAAACCCTAATCCAAACCTAACCCTAACAAAAAAAACCTAATCCGAACCCTAACCCTAATCTAAACTCTAATCCAACATAAACGTGTCTGTCCAACAATTCCCAATTATATTTTGCCTTTTGTTGCCAGATTTTTCAAGTCCCACCAGGCAACTCACGGCGACATGTTCAGCCAACTCGCAGAACCAGGGGAGCAAACTCTAGAGACTTTACTCTCACTACCTGTAAGTATTGGTTACTGCCCTTGAATGTTATCACTTTTGTGTGGCACCAAACGATCGTTCCATTGTATGTCATGCAGGGACCTCCATAACGGCATCTGTAGCCCGTCATGTGGGACGTAAAGCCCTCAACTAAGGAAAGTTACACGCTTGCCTATCCGTCTCTTGGTTAAGTCTTCCATTGCTACACATTTCATCAGATCGCCAGGAAACCTTGCGAATACCCCCGCGGAGGTTTGTGCGGAAATTAAAAAAATAATTTCGGATAGGCGTCACCCCGCCTGGGTGCAATGTGATTTTTTCTGTATATACGGTGTATACAAGTCGAATGCGGTTTGACACCGTTCACCAATGAAACTTTGGGGAGTGTCTTTGTCGGTTATAGTGTTTGTGGTTGTTTGTTTATGGCTATGTGTGCTTTTTTGTTAGTGTTTAAGGTTATGGTTGGTTGTGGTTAGTATTAGGTTTAGAGTTGGGTTTAGGGATATATATTTTGACAAACGTCGTTATTTGCTTACCCATGATGCTCTACTGCCGAGAGGTGACGTGGCATGGAAAACTGTAACAATCGCTGACGTCACACATCGCCGTCTGACGGGGCCAGCAACCGAATATGGTTTGGGTTATTTCCCTTGGCTGGTAGCACTATATATATACACACACACACACACACATATATATATATATATATATATATATATATATATATATATATATATATATATATATATATATATATATATAATGTAAAAAAAAAGCAATGAATGAATTAAACGACAGATACGTGCATAAAAAACATAACACAAAACAAAACAACATCCACTAAAAGAATAAAGCACAAAACACAACCCCACAAAACACAACCACACAAAACACAACCACACAAAACACAACCACACAAAACACAACCACACAAAACACAACCACACAAAACACACCTACACAAAACAGACACACAAACTCAATTCAATTTATTTAATGACGGTAACAATAGTAGGCACGGAGGCCTTTTTTCATTCACAAAACCGATTGTCCAATCCTTGTATACTCAATTTAATTGCATTAAAATTACAGTATGTGAAAAGCACTAGGGAAAAAAATTCATTTAAAAAAACGTTTTAATAACAAGCTTTTATGTACTAATGCACTAAAAAGTAGAAAATAAATTATAGACTACTATTTAAATAACTATAAAGAAAAGCGTGGGTCACTTTAGTACTTTAGTACCTATTTTATACCTTTACTAATATTTGAGAAGAGACCCACGCTTTTCTTTATAGTTATTTAAATAGTAGTCTATAATTTATTTTCTACTTTTTAGTGCATTAGTACATAAAAGCTTGTTAATTAAACGTTTTTTTATGAATTTTTTTTCAGTACTTTACATGCTTATTTACAATAGTGTTACATGACTAAAAACCATTGCGCGTCTATTAAACGTGATGGCGCAGCTATTGAACCTGATGGCGCAGCTATTGAAAGTGATGACGCGTGTGGTGTGGTTGGATAGACATTCCTACTAATTCGGTCCAAATTTTAATTTATTCATAAAAAATTAATTAGGCATCCAATTAAGTCAAATTTAGTTTCAGATTGCATTGTCTTCATGTCTTGACCCACGTGCCAACTGTGAATCGTATCGGTCAAGTAGAACTGTCCGAATTTTCACTCCTGCGTTTCTATCTAGACTGACGACAGACTGACGAGGAAGTGAGTTAAATAAAAGCTTGTAATAAAAAAAATTCATAAAAAACGTTTTAATAACAAGCTTTTATGTAATGATGCACTAAAAAGTAGAAAATAAATTATACACTACTATTTAAATTACTATAAAGAAAAGCGTGGGCCACTTTAGTACTTTAGTACCTATTGGATACCTTTACCAATATTTGAGAAGAGACCCACGCTTTTCTTTATAGTAATTTAAATAGTAGTGTATAATTTATTTTCTATTTTTTAGTGCATCATTACATAAAAGCTTGTTATTAAAACGTTTTTTATGAATTTTTTTTCAGTACTTTACATGTTTTATTTACAATAGTGTTACATGACTAAAAACCATTGCGCGTCTATTGAACGTGATGGCGCGCCTACTGAAGGTGATGGCGCAGCGATTGAACGTGATGACGTATGTGGTGTGGTTGGATAGACATGCCTAGTAATTCGGTCCAAATTTTAATTAATTCATAAAAAATTAATTAGGCATCCAATTAAGTCAAATTTAGATTCAGATTGCATTGTCTTCATGTCTTGACCCACGTGCCAACTGTGAATCGTATCGGTCAAGTAGAACTGTCCGAATTTTCACTCCTGCGTTTCCATCTAGACTGACGACAGACAGACTGTCGACAGAATGTCGACAGACTGTCGACAGAGGAAGTGAGTTAACTAAAAGCTTGTAAAAATGACTCTGTTTTATAGAAATTTGTAAGCAGATTTAATTCTATGTTCTAAATTCTCTTCATTGAAAGAGTTATAGTTTACGTTTGAACATGTTACATAGAAAGATATTAGACATTTTCTCAAATGTCGTTTTTTGCGTATAGATATTGCATGGAAAAGTAAAATATTTCCTAAACCACGAAACGGCCAGTATAAGAATGTACAAGAAAGCTTAGGGGAGATTACCCACCCTCCCCGCTTTATTTTTCATTACTTTGAAAATTTTAATACAATAGAATATCATAGCTAAAAACAATTGCACACCAAATGAACGCAAACAATGTGCGTATAATGTGCACACCAAATGAACGCAAACAATGTGCGTATAATGTGCACACCAAATGAACGCAAACAATGTGCGTATAATGTGCACACAAAATGATCGCAAACAATGTGCGTATAATGTGCACACCAAATGAACGCAAACAATGTGCGTATAATACAGCGGAAATGTATTACTTTTGATAAGAAATTGTCATGAATTCCTTCAGAATGAAATGAGCTTATGATTAAGTCAAAAGTTTCCTCGGGTCTTGACCAAGGTGAAGTTGGTCGGTGAGAAATGCCAGTTTCGATCGTTGATGAGAGAGCACGAAAGAGGAAGCAAGTAAAATAAAAGAAACTTGCAATCAATAAAGGTCTTTGAGAACAGCAGGTGATTCATTTCCCCAAACACCAACCAGCTGTCAGGAATTTGAACATTTCAACCATCAACAGATGACATGTTGAATTGGATACGTTTTCAACCTGCCTATACATCCAATTGACTTTGAAACCGTTTTAGATAACCAACCTGCAGACAGACGGAGGGAGGGACTGGTGGATGGAGGGAGTGTAGGAGAGCACACGTGACGGGATGACAACAGTGGATGACAGCTATGGATGACAGCTATGGATGATAGCAATGGGTGATAGCAATGACAGTAATAGAACTCGGCGCATCATCTTCGATCGGAAATTTAGGACAAATTTTTCAATGAATCGTCAAATAACACAATCATTAGTGTAAGGCGGTCTCGGATGTGTAAGGCCGTGTATAACATATCTTAAAGACTGGTGTAAGTGTAATCAAATGTATTGATTGAACCCTCAAACAACTATTTTTCTTCAGAATCCTCTGACCCCCCCCCCCCTCCCTCCCTCCATTCTCCAAACAATCTCACCCGAGCATGTCGTCTATCTTTTGACTGAACCAACCGGCAACTGGAAACTTTGAGTCCTGCCTAAATCTGGCCACTAGATTTCTGACGTCACACCTAACCTCAGACACAAACTTTCAAACATCCAACAAGTCACAAAACATGGGACATAAAACTTACAACATGCAACAAGTCACAAAACATGGGACATAAAACTTTCAAACATCCAACAAGTCACAAAACATGGGACATAAAACTTACAACATGCAACAAGTCACAAAACATGGGACATAAAACTTACAACATGCAACAAGTCACAAAACATGGAACAAAAAACTTTCAAACATCCAACAAGTCACAAAACATGGGATATAAAACTTACAACATGCAACAAGTCACAAAACATGGGACATAAAACTTACAACATGCAACAAGTCACAAAACATGGGACATAAAACTTACAACATGCAACAAGTCACAAAACATGGGACATATAACTTACAACATGCAACAAGTCACAAAACATGGGACATAAAACTTACAACATGCAACAAGTCACAAAACATGGGACATAAAACTTTCAAACATCCAACAAGTCACAAAACATAGGACATAAAACTTACAACATGCAACAAGTCACAAAACATGGGACATAAAACTTTCAAACATCCAACAAGTCACAAAACATGGGACATAAAACTTACAACATGCAACAAGTCACAAAACATGGGACGTAAAACTTTCAAACATCCAACAAGTCACAAAACATAGGACATAAAACTTACAACATGCAACACGTCACAAAACATGGGACATAAAACTTTCAAACATCCAACAAGTCACAAAACATGGGACATAAAACTTACAACATGCAACAAGTCACAAAACATGGGACATAAAACTTTCAAACATCCAACAAGTCACAAAACATAGGACATAAAACTTACAACATGCAACAAGTCACAAAACAGGGGACATAAAACTTTCAAACATCCAACAAGTCACAAAACATAGGACATAAAACTTACAACATGCAACAAGTCACAAAACAGGGGACATAAAACTTTCAAACATCCAACAAGTCACAAAACATAGGACATAAAACTTACAACATGCAACAAGTCACAAAACATGGGACATAAAACTTACAACATGCAACAAGTCACAAAACATGGGACATAAAACTTACAACATGCAACAAGTCACAAGAATTGTCCACTGAAAAAAGCCCACCAGTCTTAGCTTCTATAATTAACTTGGTTTGGTGTACATAATTGATAAGTGGGAAGCCCTACAATTCTCGGGGTTGTATGCTGTGATGTGGGGGTTGTATGCTGTAATGTGGGGGTTGTATGCTGTGTTGTGGGGGTTGTATGCTGTAATGTAGGGGTTGTATGCTGTAATGTGGGGGTTGTATGCTGT